TAGTATATTACTTGTGTGGTGTAGAGGATAATTATTTATCTAGAGATATTGCTTAGGATTTAAAAGTTGTAAAATGATGTCATGGGGTAGGACTAGATAAGTCTAACTTCTTCCTACTCCGTTCAAGCATGTACTAGGTATAAGTAAACTGATATTGGATTATTATTGTTGGATATGTGTGAAATTACATGTGTTGACATATCAACTGTTTTACATGCTTGAATGAATAAACCAAATCAAATCAAGCGTCATAAGTAGATATTGTTTTTTTTTAAGGGGTTACAGTTGAATATGGTTGGGAACCCCAGATTCAGATCTCAGCTCACCAGTATGACCTGACCAACCTGATCAACACTTTCCAGTAGCAGAGTAAGAAGCAACTTGAAATGTAATAAATGTGTAGCTTTTTTAAAATCCTGCAGATTCCAGCTTTAAAACAAAAAAGTGACTCACATTTTTGGTACTACTGTCCTTCCACTGTTTCTCTTTCTGTTCAAAAAACCTTTTGGTCCATTGTTCTCTGGGAGGCAGCATCATGACGTCTGCTGGCTGGTACCTGGCTGAAGGGATCTGACTCATAGAGGGAGGCAGGATACTGGTGCTGGTGCTAAGACTAACACTAGAGGGCCAGTTGTTGCTGGATGCCACTTGAGGCTCTGGATCATTGCTTAGCACTTTAGGACACTTTGGCTTTGAGAACCACCTTTGGCTACTTCTGAGAGGGTCTCCAAAGAAGTTTGGTTTTTTACCCAAAGGCAGAGGAGGTGGTGGGGGCTTAAACTGGAACTCAAGCCTGGGTGGGGGACCTCCATAAAAGCTAGTCAGGGAATCAGGACCAGGTAGTGACTCTGAAAGGGAATTTGTGCCGGCACTGTTCTCTGGATTAAGTTTTTTGCCATTATTAGAAAGGTTTACTGGGGTGAAGTCTTCAGATGAAGGATAATCCCATGGACAGGTGGGGAGGGGGGCCCCAGGGTGGTTTCGGATTGCAGAAGAAAAATCCTTGTTTTCTGTCTCCTCAGGAGGGGATGCATTTCCAATTCCACTGTCCCCGTTGCTGCTGGCGCTGCCATGTTTGCCATTGTTGCCACTCTCTTTGGCTTGCTGCTGAGCCTCCATATCCAGTTTGAATCTTAGCCTCCCAACAGCCTCCCCCATATCACTGTACAGAACTGTTATGAAGTGCAGGACACCTGGTGGGGTCTGAGGAAATTCCAGGCAGCCCAAAGCATCTGGATCTGGAGTGCAGTGAAAGCCAAAGCGTCCAACAATGCCTAAATGGTCCTCATGGTTTCCCAGCTCTGGGTCGATGAAGAAAACATGACAGGAGGCCCTCAATGGACCATCCTCTGGGACGCGACCATTGAGAATATGTGCTGTAGTGACCAGACAAAAGAAACGTGGGTCTTCAGCACACACAGCCAAATGCTGCCAGAACAGCTCCAGTGTCATCACACAGCCGGATGCAATCAAACATGATCTTCATCACCACCAGAGTGTGGGTATCTTGTTCTGTTCCCAACTGTCGTATTTGTTCACGTATGGCTTTCAAACAGTCCTCCTCGGATTCTGCAGTGTTTAAAATCAGCTCTGTGGAGCTAAGGTAGCCCACCACCAAGGTCGTGTTTAAAATGCCCCAGTCTAGGCTGACGTCTTCTGTGTCTCTAAAAACAGAGTCTGTGCAACCCACTCTAGAAGTTTCCTCCTTTGGCTGCTCAGCTAAGCAGCTCCACTGTTGTGACCACTGCGACATATTAGGCTCTGATACCGGCCTCTGTTTGCTGGTGATAGCATGACTCAAGTTAAAGGAGGAATCGCTTGAATTGTCTGAGATAGTGCGAAGAACACCAGGCTTTTGTAGAATATCACTTTTCTGGCTAATGCCAAATTTTGCATCATTAAGGATGGGGTTCCTTATTATTCGACCTTCAGTGTGCACCACCAGCTGCAAGAGTCCTTTGCAGCTGCCAATCAGCTCCACAACAGTCTCATGCGAAGCAGTGGACACATCAGTTCCATTGACGGCCATGATGCAATCCCCCTGTTTGAGTCCCACTAGGTCAGCAGGACTTCCCTTCAGGATACCCCTCAAGATACAGGGCCTCTGTCCCCAAATAGTAAAACCATATCCTGCCCGACCACGGGTGACTTCCACAGCCCTGAGCTCACGGACTGCATTTAAATCCAGACACCTCCTTGCGCCCTCAGATTGTCCCTGTATCCTCATCTTTGTTGTAGAGTGCTGTGAGATCCAGTGTGTGGGAACTGAAACACTTGCAGGTTGCCAACACTATTGTGTTGTTGTCATCCTACAGTCACACAAAGTGGGCAAAAAAGAAGGAAGAAGCTTAAAAAAGCCGTTTGTTGGCAATATATCAAATGAAGCATTAAACTAGAGCTGCAGCTGCAGAATATTAAGTATAAATTATTATGTTGCACATATAAATAATCAGTTAGTTGTTTGATTAATTGTTTGCTAATAAAATGTCCAAAAACATGTCAAAACACCCAGCTTTCCAGAACCCAAAATTAAATCTAGGCTTTGTCCAAACACTAGTTTAAAACCCTACAACATTCAATTTACAGCTATTTGAGACAAAATAAAGCAAGAAATCATCATGTCTGAAAAGATGGAAACAGAAAATGGTAATGTTCATTGAAAAATTGGACATCAATTTTGATAATAAATAATCGCCAAAAGTGCTTTGAGTAATTTTCTAGCAATCAGGTAATCAATTAAGTCACTTGTTTTAGTATTACATTATATAGCTTGTTAATTATATTAAAAATACATTTACAAAATACTTTACAATACACACACGTTAAAGCAAAAAAAAAGTACGATGCAGGCTGTTTAGCTCCATTTTACTCTTTGCGAGGTAACGTAATAAAGGAGCTAAAACACTGATATCGATCTTATTTTAGCAATTACCAGTCAAGAGATAAGACACAGGCAGCTTTTATGTCCTAACACAGTTTGCAAATTACCATCAACCCCCCCTCACACACACACTCCCCCAAAACTGAATGCCAGCTGGCTGCCTCCTCACCAGCCACGCTTTAATGACATCCAGTCTTTAGTTTGGGTCAACCACTATTTTTAACGTTCCTGTACTCTATTCTACACAAGCTAAAAATATTCAACACAGGAAAAACACAGGAAACACCTGACAAAGGGTGCTTCGTTTTTTTTATCAGTTCGCTAACGGTTATAAAAACGTCAGTGTTAAACTAGCACAATAGTTAGTAGTCGGAAACTAGAACTACATTGAAGGGTCTGGAGAACTTACTTTTAACGTCCTTAAATCGCCTTTCCCGCTGGTGAAAAGTTCCGCAGAAACGCCCACAGTTTTACATTCACTTTGATTATGCGTCCATTTTTTTTATAATTCACAAAAACATTTCCCCGTCGTGATTTAGAACCGTTCAAAACTAGTCTGTCCATATGGCTACGCGCGAGAACACCTCCTCCCTCCATTCACTCAAGCTCGAGCGTCTTTCACTGTAACCATGACAGCGTAACGTCTCTGGATCATGTGACCTCTCCTTCTGGCCAATCACAGGGCCGAGCTCTTTAAATATTCAAACGACTGGAATGACGCTATTGGCTGCCGCTGATGCCAATAGATGGGGTTTATTTCGGGTTAATACATGCATTAATCATATTTAAAAGCCTGGATCTTTTTAAACAGAGAGCACATTTTGAATTTTGAAAAATGAGGACTAAAACCGCGCTCCAAGCTCAGTATTCACACGAAGGAGCAAGTTAGATATTAAAACACATACAGTAGTGGTAAATTATTAATATGATTAAAAATATAGCCTACAACTTATAAGTCTCACCCAAATGATTTTACAGCAATATCCCTCAGTCTCCTTGCATGTGGGTCGCTGCCTCGTCCACAGTAGTGCAGCTCTTCACATGGCATAGTAAACAATACCTCTCTGGTCAAAGGGCTGCAACGGTTGTGCACAATGTCACATGGTTTATGTGGAGCCTACACCACTTTGCATTAAAGAGAGAATAGCTGCCAGTCATTTAATGTGACAATAGGATTATTAATAGCATATTGCTAGACCATGACAAGCTGGTGCACTTTGCTTCATTTATTACTGCTGTGAAAATGTAAAATCACACATAGCATAACTTGGTGTACATCTTTTAAAAAAAAAAAGTATTTTCTTTTTCATAAAGCAGTGAGCTCTGTGGAGCAGGTGTAATGTGTGATGGAACAAATTTAGTTTTTATTTTCCCGTAATCCTCTTAAAAGATGAAAGGTAAACATTTTGCATTTAATTATCTTGCAGAAATATTCAGGGAAAATTACAGTGCCACACATTAAGCAATGTCCAGTCCACTGGTTTATTCAACAAAACCGCAAACAAGAACATGTCATCTTTATGACTTTACATAGCACTGGAAAAAGGTTTTGTGCTTTTTTAAAAAGCACAATGCTACCCAAGATTAAATGCGCTGTTGATTTTGTTCAGCCCAATTAGTGTGCATGTACAGTACCATCAGAAATGACTGGATATAAATAAAATAATTATTAGTGAGTCAGTATTTCTCAAACCTTTATTTATTACATCTAGACAAACTTCACCTTGAATAAGTCTTTCAGTTGAAAGCAGAAAAATTACTCTAATTTTAGAAGCGCAAAGCTCCCACCATCAGAGGCATCTGTCTTTTCCATTCAGTTTTGATGAGCTAAAAAAAATCAAGACTAGAAATAGCTCTGTCTCTTCCACAGGAGATGGTAGACCAGAATGTTTCTGTTTATACTGACTGTAATGGTACTGTGCACTAAAAGGAGACATTTGAGAGATGTAAAATGTCCTTTTACAAGAAGCCTGGTGAAGTTTGTGTTGGCTAGTGACTGCAGTGTTTTTGCTCACAGCTTCTTTCCAGCCTCCTCAGCAGGGATCATTCTCTCAAGTCCTGCTTCATAATGCTACAAATTGCCCTGTTTTGGAATCATAATTTCCCAGCAAGTGATAAGATAAATCTGTTGAAGTCTGTTGTTCCCACAGTGATTTGAACAGGACAGTTTATCAAGACAGGTACAACTATAATTAAAATGAAAATTTACATTTGAGCCTAACTCAGTGTAGAGGCTAAGGTGCCAGCTTATGTCATCATGGCTTTCAACACTGTCATCTTCCATTAATGATATTTTGACTGATGACACCTTAAGAAATTGTACTGGCATATTTTTGTACATCTCTGTACCATTCCTTCATTGATGAGTCATATACTTTATAACATGAAAAATACTTTAAAACTGAAACCAAAAGATATTCTTTATTTTTGCTTAAAAGAGGCTATAGGTGAGGCAAGACCATGGCCTCTCCCAACAACCATAACCCTCACACGTCATGGCTTCCCTAGATCTTTGGCCCCGCTCTGACCCCATGATGCCGATGTGGTGGAGGGAGGTTGGATCATCTTCTCCAGGAGGTTCATCATACGCTCCTGCAGCTGCAGACACTGGACCTGGAGGAGGTTTTGTTGGTGCATGGCTCGACGAACCTCCCTGCACGTTTCCTCTATGGCCCGACTTGACCTCCTTTGTTGCTGCAGCATGGCCTGCATCACCCGTAGTTTCTTCCTCTTCATTGACAGGTGCTTGTTGGCATGTCTCTTCCTGGCTGAAATAGGATGGGAGCTGGAGCAGAGAGAAGGGAGATTTTAGAGCAGACAGTAATTGCTGCTAGATCACCTCAGGGTACAAGAGCTAATTGTTAATCCCGCAATCTAATTTGGTTTTAAAATTCCACATTTGTGCCATATAGAATGAATTCTAATGTCATATATGTAAAAAAAAAAAAGCTCTAATGAGCCTAAGCTTCATGTCTTTGGACTGTAGGAGGAAGTTGGAGTACCTAGAGAGATCCCACACAGGCACAGGGAGAACATGCAAACTCCGCACAGAAAGGCCTCGGGTCGTGCCCTTCCCCCTCAAATCTGCAACCTGTTTGTTATGAGGCGACAGTGCTAACCACTGCGTCAACATGCTACTGTCATTATCTCAGTATAGTTGAATAGTGCATAAACAATAGCTTATCTGAAATAACTGAGTACAAAGTTAGATTATCAGCATGTTATTAGCTTGAACAGTCATTAAAACACACACACACACGCACACTCAGCTAGCTCCTATTACCTGGAGCCCTGTGTGTGCTCACTGTCAGAGCTCAAAGAGTCCAGCTCCTGTTTTATCTCCATCTCATCTGAGGAGCCTGTGTACTCTGGCAGGAATCCCATCATCCCCTCCTCTGACTGGGGAACCAGGTTGTCTGTAGACTGGGAGGAAGTGGAGGGGCCAGCAGCAGAGGCCTGAAACTCCAAAGAGTTCACTCGCCCGTTCTCCAGTGGCTTAGAGAGGATCTTCTCAATGGCCTTATAGTAAGGCCAGTCTGGTGTCTCACTGCTTTCACCGACTGTGGATTTCAGTCGCCTGTTAGAGGAAAAAGGGATTTTTATATATATGCAAAATCTGATGTTTGGAGTCATAACTCTGGGCGGACATTTGGAACTGGTGCACTTGCCTGTACTGGAAAGACATGTTGGTGATTTTCATCTTGATCTCCTCTTTGAAGCGTTGCTCTCCAGTCAGCTGGAAAAACCTCTGGGACATCTTCTCATAAACCTTAGCATTCCTCTTGCTCATTTTCAGTTCGTTGTGGTGTTCCTCCCACACGTACAGGAGGGCTTTCATTTCACCATCGGTCCAGTTTGGGGCCCGCCTGTGTTTCTCACTGTGGCCTGGCATTAGATAGCTGAAACCATCCTCTACTGCCATTTTTGAAATGCTTCTCTTGGACTGTGCTGGCTGCAGAAATAGGACCTTTAGAGGTTGAATTTGAAAGGCTTTTACTGTGCTAAGAGCTCTGTTGGGTCTGCAGTGAGGGAGTGATTCATGCAAGGAGGCACAGACAGTGCTGCCTGTGCCCTTCCCCCTAGTCTCGCTGAAAGAGGACTCAAAATGGGGCCTAAGGCAGGAGAGAAATCCGGTTAAAAGCTTTTAGCGGTGCATGATGTCACCATGACATCAAGTTGCCTTGGCAACAGTGAGGGAGGTCCTTCATTTCCCCTCCCCTCTCATCCAGCCACTCCCAACCTCTCTCCTTTCCCCTCCATGCTGCTCCACTGGCAGCATAAAAAGCTTTTAGCTGAAAGGCAGCAGTGTGAGTGCACGAGATTGCTGACAGGTTTGAAATATGAGCCTCTGGGGAGCTGGTGGGAAAAAGAGCTGAGACTACGAGTATGTGGTTCCTTGGCAACACGGCACTGGATCTGGTAGCCAGCCAACACACTGCTTCATTTAAAAGCTTTTAATAATAGACAAGTCATTTTGAGATGGGGAGAGGGAGGATTTGTTTCATCTGGAATGATGTAGAAGAGAAGAAAACACTCCCAGCCTGCAGTTTAGACCTTTCCCTGAAAATCAGTGAAGCACATCAGGTGGAAATAACAGGGGGGAAACGTCAGACAAAATGGCAACATGTGGTGATCAATTGTAGGCAACCCTGCAGTAGAATACATTATCCTGTCTGCTGTAATCAGATTTCTATTCATGGCTGGGGGTTGTAGACAATGGACCCCTGCAGGAGGGGGTTCTCTAACCAGTTGGAAACCCCTCCCCCATTAGGCTTTCAGCAAGAGACAGATCGCTGTCTATCTTCATGTGAAGCACCCTAATCTGATAAATGCATTTCCTCCCTCTTGCTTCCTTTCTTTATCCCTCCCTCTCTGCTTCCATCTTTCCTTCCAGAACTTTAATGCATCACTGTTTCTAAAAACTCAAACAAGTCTTTCTGTGCATCTTTTTACCTTCTGCTTTGTCTCTTTCTGTTTGTTTTTGCAGCCTGAAAAGATCAGAAATGGCAATGCAGTAACACAAGTCATCCATCGTCACTTCTTCTTTATTAGTGCCACTAGTTGCTGTCAGTCCAGTTTTACCTGATTAGACCCTTAACCCATCTGCTCCTCACTAACCTGAAAGGCAGCTAGTGCAATTTATTGCCAAAATTGCCAGCTTTGCTTGATCCATCACATCTGTTGCTTAAAGAAAAACACAAAGCTCCACAGCTGCAAAAATACAAGAGTGAGTGAAAGTCAGTGTGAAGGGTTTTCTATGTTTGTTTTTGCTTTTGTCTTCAATGGTTTTGTGCCTAAACAAGTGAAAACACTGGCAGAAGTAGACAGAAAAAAAATCCCTCTGTTGTCTTCAATAAGTCATATATAAGACTTAAATGATTATGTTTAAAGAAATACAATTTCAGCAACAGATTCCTATTAACTCATGTTTTTCAATATCATGACTGAAGCTTCTTACCAGGGTCCATTATAATTGTGTTTAATTATCTTCCCATTTTTTCATTCAATTAGATGGAGGTAATCCTCACTACTAATCCAAGAGCTAGACTAATCTACAGATAAACTGTTCATGTGCCTCTCATGTCTAGATGTAGAAGTCAGTAATGTGAGTGAGCTATATTGCCTAATCATATTGGAACATCTTAATACTGACCAGAGAAACTAGGGACCTTTCACAAACTTCTCATATTGCTGGAAATTTGTCCAAATTGTACTCACACAATAGGTTTAAAAATCGAACCAACATATGTAGCTCGATCTTATTTAGTATGCACTCGTGGAGTGAAACAAATCAGTGCTTCTTCTATGTTATTAGTTAATGTTAATGACAAAACCCTGCAGCACTTCTCAGTTTTGGTAATTGAAAACAACATTGTTCTTCATTCATTCATTCACTGTTTTTGTTTTCCATTATTCTAATATTGGTGCACTGTAGCCGCAGACGCTGTAGTGATTATTTTGTAGTGCACTGGGGAACACAGTCACAATAATGCAGCACAGAAACACAGTAGAGGCTTAAGAGAAAATCATTTCAATTAATAATTTAAATTTAATTGTCCCATTGTATAAGTTGCTCATACTGTACTGTATAATGTCACTGCTTTCTGCAGCCTTTGTCATCAATTTATTTAAACTCTCCATGAATATTTATACAAATACCTAAATTAAATGAAAGGAGGGTTTTACCTTGAAAACTCAGCTTTGCGCTATAATAACTGAACAGATATTGATTAAAACACACATGCACTAAGAGGTAGCTGTTATGGTCTTATGTGGTCTGGTAGCTAACGGTGGTCAATGTTAGCTAACATTAGCATACTTTAGATAGACTAATTCAATTTGTTGACTTTATGACTCCTCTGCTTTAACTCTGGTGATACTTTGTTTTAACATTATCCTGCATTTGCTGCTTGTGGTCACGGTGACTACAATTTACTGAACGGTACATAGTCTCACTTTAAAGTAATAAAAACAGGCACATTTATGGACTACACAAATCAATGCTACATAGTAAAATAAAGGAGCAAACCAGAGCCAAGTTCTGTAATTTCTTTGAACCTTAGAAAAATGTTTAATGCAAATTTGGGCACATAAAACACATACTGTACATACAGTAGAGTGCATACATACAGTATCATAAAGTATAAATGCCTTAAACGTTAGTCTACGTTAGTATGTCAACACATACTACTGTTGTACATAAAGTTTAACGTACCTCATAATAAACCAGTCCACAATGAACTGAATGCAGACAGGTCTGTGTGTTTCACACCTGCTCATTGCAAAAACTAAACAGGACGAAACAACTGATGACCACATTGTGTTGTGTGATTAGATCATTTGAGGCTGGTGTGCGTTCTACACAAAATATACAGTAGATGCAAGCTGTCTGTTTCCTTTTCATACTAAGTAGAAAGCTCTGTGCAAATTTGAGCTGAGGCAGCAGGTCCAATCCTAGCTTTATGGGAATTTACTCTTCCTGAGGGGGAACAGTATAATCCAGAGTAGCTTTTCCTCATCAGTGTTTAACAATAATGCAGATACAAGAAGAGATAGAAAGTTATTACATGAACCCATGCCCCTCAGGGCAGGACAATTAAGGAATGTCAGTCTGTGAACCTATCAAATACAAAATAGTGAAAATTATAGGTTTTAAACAAAGGGGCTAGTGAATGGCATGTAAAGTGACAGGCCAACTCTGGTACACCAGCAGCTTCTTTACCCTACATCTCAGTTTGCCACACCACACCCAAAAACAATGCAATGTAACACACCATATAAAACAAAATGTCAAATCAAAACATTTAAAAAAAACACGACAGAATGGAAACATTATAATATATCAAATATGTATATTATACAACAATACAATTTAAGTCAAACCTGAAAATCAATGTAGTTCTGAAAAAGTACCACTAGAGGTCGGCAAATATCCATGCTCAGATAACCAGTTACACACTATTTATCTGCTGTGAAACGTTTCTTCTGCTTGTGGACTAACATTTATAAAACGTACAGACCTCACACATCTCTGATTAACCTCCATTCAGTTCCACATAGCAGCAGTAGTAGTCAGTTCAGCAAAATTCACTTAGTTACATTCTTGACATGAAGTCTCACAGTATAAATGACAGATTAAAAAAAAAAAAAAAGCCTAACATTGACTTGTATGTGCACAGTGGTCTCAACTGTCTCACTGAATGACTTCTGCAATCTTGACACTGTTACTGCATCAGGAAACAGAATTACTTCCCACAATGGACCCATTCAGTCATAAGAGAACGGTTATTTGCAGCACATTCTGCTGACCAAGTATTTCACTTTGCTCCTGTGAAGAGGATTGTTTTTGAAGGTGTTTTCCATCTCTGGAGGCAAAAGTTCCTCTCTCTTCATTTTGTCAGGTTTTCAGAGTAACTCATCTGTCCACTGCGGATCCTTTATCAGTATTGTTTGTTTACAGACCTCAATCTGTTTTTGCGTGTTTTCAGTGTCTTGAACGTCTCTGTTCAGTCTCTGGGTAGACACTCCTCCTCGGTAATACCCTGAGCCTTGAGCTCTTCGAGAACGTTGTCCAGGTGGCCGGGGTCGGGGTAGCCGTGACCTGTCAGGTTGGAGCCGAACTCCGTCTTGTGGTGCACCTCGTTCCAGATGACAGTGTCGGACTCGCCAGTGGTGCTGGATGTGCCCACAGAAAAAATGAGCCGGCGGTCCCACGCCACCAGGAGCAACCTCAGAACCTGGACAACAAGATGAAGGAAGAAGACAATTTTATCACATACTCTTCATCACACTCTACATCATGTCTTCATAGAAGTCAGAAAGAGGAGATGTTTAATCCTGTACCTTGCGACCTTTCTCACTGTCAGGGAGATAGCAGTGTCTGGGGAACCCACGGGCAGTGAAGGGTTTGCCTGGATTTGGATGCTCAGGGCCCTGAACAGCAACAGCAGGGTTTGTCACATCATCCAAGCACAACCAATTAACACATGCTCATATTTTGTCACAGAAACATTTGTGTCCTAACTTCACCTGGATGCCAGGAGGGATGTTGTAAATGATGCGGATGGTTTTGCAGTCAGGATGGCCGGGCAGCGAGTGGGGGATGACGTGGTACTCCATCTTGCCAGGGGGCTGGTTGCCAGTCTTGACTCCATAAATGGTCTTGCAGGTGGGGCACTGCAGGCTGCCATCCTTGTTGCCATTGTTGTACATAGCGACAAGACACTGGAGGTGGTACTGGTGACCACACTGCGCCAGGCGGCCCACCGACTCAGCCCGGGAGATGCCACCCACACCGGGGCCCTTGTACCCTGATGGTCCGGCCAGGGCCTCCATGCAGATGGTGCAGTCCTGAGTTGGGAAGATAATTTATACTTTTAGGTTTGTCTTATTCAACCTAATACGGGCAGACAGTTCCAACGACTTTTCAACCTTTCATTGTTCTCTGGCTAAAACATGAAAAGCTGAAAATAGTCTGTATTATTGCCCGAGCTGCTGCTTGTGCACGCCAAACAACAGAATTTGTAAAAACTTTGAAAAAGTACCAGAGCTCTCAGCCACATCTCATGGCCTTCACAGGCAGATTGAGTTTGTTCAGCTGCCAAGGATTATGAGCTCCTTTGCATGCTGTTGTCACTTGACTGAAAATCAAAATGAAATTCGAGACCATGCCATAACTGGAAAACTCCAACATCTCCATCACAAGTAAGCAGGTCAACCTGCTGATGACGGCCATGAGATGTGTCTGAAAGTTCCAGAAAAACCAAGAAACTACTTCTTGAGAATTAATTTTTTGTTGCTCTTCTTATCCATCCATCCACTATCTATACTGTTTATCCCTGCATAGGGTCATGGGGGTGCTGGAGCCAGTCCCAGCTGACACTGGGTACATCTATGCATGTCTTTGGACTATGGGAGGAAGCCGGAGTACCCGGAGAGAACCCACAAAAGGCACAATGCTAACCACCGCTCCACCATGCCGCCCGGCTATTTTTATGGTAAAAAACAAACAAAATTTTACAAACTTGCCAAAAGACAAACTTTTGGCCTCTTTGTTGCTTCCAAAACTGATCTGCATTAGGGTAGATGTGACTACAGGTTTATATTTTACTTTGCTATTCTATTTCCTGGTTTAATATTTTTAAAAAATCAGAGTGAGTCTAAGTGATATTAAACCAAATACAGATGCATAAATATGGTAAAATGCAAGTTGTTTTCTCTCATATTTTTAAATGTTATTCTGCTTTGTCTGTGTCAAAATAAGCAACGGTTGTTGCACAGAGAGCACTGTGAGTTGTGTGAGATTTCAACAAGATGCCGTCCCATATAATATAATCAAGCCCTGCTGTTACCTCTCACTGGGTTGCTTGTTGTCAGGGGTCATGTTTTATTTAACTGAAAATCATCAAACAGAAGAACTGACCTCTTCTGGAGGATTGCGAACTTTCTGAAGGTACCTCTTCACCACCTCCTCTGGTGTCTTGCCTAAAAGATGAAAACACAAAGTATGATCAAATCCATGACCAACATGCTTGTTCACCAAAAAGCAAAAGCAGACTTTGTTGTCATCAAAGCCACCTTTGCGGGCCTGCTTCTTGGTAGTCTTGCGGCAGCAGTGGCCCAGACCGGGTACAGGCTTGATGTCACTCTTGCTCACAGGTGGAGGATGAAGCACCAACTTAGGCGGGCGGGTCAGGCAAACAGGAAGTCCGGCGGCACTCATCAGGATTCCTGTAATGCCTGGATGCAACCAGCAGAGGGGTGTGTGAGATGCTCTATTTGGGGTTTACTCATGGCATGATGAGCTCTTTATCCAGGGTTAATTAATAATAGTGGCGAAGGTTGGCCAGTGGATTTACTGAAGCACCAGTGAGATATGAAGCTAAATGACATTAGCTGTGTCAACAAAAAGATTATACAAAATACAACAAACTCTGAAGATGCCCCTTCTAAGTCTTAAAAGACAAATTTTAGATATATTTTAAAGCAAGTAACTCTGATTTAAAAAGTTTGGTCCTGTCACTATATTTACCTGCCAGTGCAGGGTGAACAGGGCTAGATCCATTCAGGTTCTTCACAGGAACTGTTGGCACTCTGGAATACAAGAAAACAAATTTAAATGAATCTATAGATTGTTGACACACTACAGGGCAGAACACCTCTGCAGCCCAGATTCAGGGTGTCAGTCCAAATCTGATGAGTCACCTGCAGACAGTCAGAAGTACAAACAGCTGGCTGCAGCATATGCTAGTTACTAGATCAGCCCATACCAGCAGGTTAAGAAGCTTTTGCTGAGTCATGTGAAGAGACAAACAGACGGTGCTCATTACAACTTGACATACTGTCCTACAGTTATCACATCATGCATACTGTATAAGGCTTAACAGCACAATGTGTATGGCGGCACTGGACACCTGGAACATAACAAATTATTATTATCATTATTTTGCTGTTAATTTTGGGTACAACTAATATAATGTGGTCTTGTTCTGATAGCCACAGCTGTACCGTGACAGACACAACAGTCTGTCATGAGCGCAGTAATGTCGACACTATGACCGCCCAGTTAGAAGTGCGTACTTACGTTCTCCCAGTTTTGATAACGGTCATCTTTCTGCTTGAAAGTGCCAAAGATCACAGATACAAATCAAGATGTTCACTTGTCGCACTGTTTGTTTTTCACTCTTTTCTCTTTTCCCCGTCGCCGATCGATTCTACAGTTTAGCTGCAGTAGCGTCACTCTCGTCCTCTGCTTGTGTGCTGGTGTCTGGTCTCCTTCCTCTTTTATAGGACTAATCCCTCTGTTTCCATCTGTTAACTAAACTGGTTGTAGGCCAGAGATTGATCACAGCAGGGATTACCTGTCAGGTACCATGTCACGCTGCCTGGCTGCCATAAGGCACATACAGCAGAATACCAGCACAATGCCACTAAATAAATGTTACAGTGTGATAATATAATAAAAGTGAGACTTGAATACTTGTAATATTTTGTTGACTTTCACATACTATAACCTTGTTGTTCTAATAACAGCTTGAGGTCTATGTTCTGACTGAGCTGATCCCTCTCTAGATAAATGATGGAAAACCTCACAGTATGGAGTTACTGTACTGTCCACTTCCTGTACTAGTCAATCTGATTACACTGTGCAGTGTTACTATATTTGTTTTGTTTACCAACACACAAGGTGTACGAGCTGCAGTATTAGCTTCCTGCATACGTGACTTTACTCACAGTCACAAACAGCGCAGCTGACTGGGTCAAACCTAAGCTGACTGACATTTGTGCATCAGACAGGAAAACATGAGCGATATGATGAAAAGATCAAGCAATGGTGGGAAAGGGAGGGAAATAAAAGTAGGAGATGTGTCAGCGAGTCACGTTTCGCTGGTCCCGGCTAATCCAGTGGCATTAGAGCAGCCTCCATCTGGGACCTGGGATGATGGAGACACACAAATGGCAGCATATGGTAACACTCATACACACTTACAAACAGATCTCACACTATGAACAGAGTCTAATGAAAAGAGTAAAGGAGAAAATACACTGCTCAGGCACATGATGAAGTTTTGTGGTGGTGAAGCACTTATAGAAATCAAACCTTGCGAAGTGAGAAGCGAAATGAGCACAGCAAGTGACTGTGATAATCTGTGATGTAGGAGACCTCTACACTACACTTCTGTTTCTCAGTATTGGACCGGTGTGGTTGATCCTATTGTAATTTATAAACCATAACGTTTAAATATCCAGTGCCAGGTTGTCTTGAAAATGTGACACAAGCATTCAAACAAGCTGCACAACATTCAGCCTGCTCAGCTTTTGGTATATACAGTGAATTATGATACAAAATGTTTTTGTACATGCAACAGAGCTAATTTCACTCAGCAGTTACAAATGTGGCTGAAAGACTCAGACAATCATTTTTGAATAAAGAAATATTTTTTATAAAAGTTTATGACATTCCCTTTATGGGTATGAAAATTCTCCAATATCCTAGGCAAGGCACACAGAAGTTTCCTTAAAGCTGCACCAATCAATATTTTTTGACTAATTATGAATTAAATGTAAAATGTGACAGTGGTCAGTTGTAGTGATAAACCTATAGAGTTACCACCCAACTGAATTTCCGGTCAGCTCTACTAAGCACCTTTCAACTCAGAGTTCTGATTTCCCAGCCTGCTGCTTGATTGTTTTGGGTCATTTAGTAAATCCCCTTAACTGTAGCCACGTTTAATATGAGAAAAACTGAGGAGAGAGGAATCGAGCAAACATGTTTATACCAACATGAAACATTCTTTCTGTCTATCCTTCGTCCAAATGATTCCTGATAAAGGGAGAATACTGGTCTATAAAAGAGGATGCTCTTGAGTAGCCTCTTCCCTCAACCGGAACAAGCTACAGGTTGAGGAACAAGGAAGAATCAAATAACGGAATTGGGATTTACCCACAGTCACTGCTCTCATTTGTGTTGCTTACAGTCACAGCAAAAACACTGTTCGTCAAGCAGCTGATTCAGCATGTTGCCCGAAACACTTCACTGCTAATGAATGCTAATGCTCTCCATGTCTGCTGGATGTGTGGAGAGGCAACTGTTTGCTAACATGTTAGCCAGAGCAACTTTATAAGGGGATCTTGTGTCATTGTTGTGTTTATAGCTTGTTCCAGCATTAGTAACAGAAGAAGCAGACTGCTTTTATAAATTACTCAGTTCCTAAATGATAGCCTCATCAACTTAAATGATAAAACTCTAACACTTTAGAAGACTTATTTCTTCTTCTTCTATGATGGCATCAGTGCTCATGTGGTGCCACGAACACAGTAGAAAGGTGATGATGGCAGAAGCACTGAGAGGAGCTTGAGCTAAGATCGAGGAGAAGAGAAGGGCGAGCAGCACAGAGGTGAGCAGAGAATCCCAGGCTGGTGGGATCAGAGACCCTTCATCGGTGATGCTGGTGGTTTTACCTCAGCAGCAGGTGCAACCATCTACTGGAGAGAAGAGTACTCTCACACGCTGAAAGACTGGGTTAGTCACACAGCTCACCTGATGCAAAATACAGGAATATTAAGCCTGTGATACAAAGTGATAATCTGAGGCTCATCTGCTGCTAAACTGGTGCTTTATGCTCGGATTAATAGATTTAGGGTGCTATGCTGGGGGTGATGCTGGGTGGCTCACATGGAAAGTATCCTCACCGTGTTGGCATGTTTTAAAGACTGTTCACAGTGCAAGCATAAAACACAAAAACATCTCAAGCTCTTGCCAAACTTCAGATGCTTTTGTATCCTGGCTGTAATTTCCATCTTGATGATGGGACAGTGTTTAATCTTGAAGCACAAGAAGACCACTGATGAAAGCATCAAGCATTTGGTGCCAGATGTGCTTTAGATGCAAAGGAGATGCATTCCAGATGTGGTTTGTAGACTAAAACCTGGAACGTGTCTTTTTTTTATGTCATTCCATGTTTTATATTTGGTGGAGCCTTAAAAGTACTTTCAGCTTGTTTGGTGAAAACTATATATAAAAATAAACTACGTGTGTGTGTTTATGAAGCAGCTCCATCATCACATTGTTGCCCTATAATCTGATGAATGTGTGTAACACTCGTGGGAGCTGGGTTTGTTTAGTGTGAATGCTCTTGACTGTTTTTCCATGGGAATGAACAGACCTGATGGACTTTGTCATGAAGATTACAGGCTCACGAATGCTAATGAGCACTGTGTAATAAGGGCCTCAGGCACATTTCTATCTGCATGGATTGTTCTTACACAACCTGTTTAGTTGTTTTGTAGATGGTTAATTGTTACGGGTTCCTATCAGTGAACAGCGCACGCTTTGTTTTGGTGAAGAGGACATTGACCTGCCTTTGACATCTATACACAGGCCCATTCATTCATTTGTACAGAAGAAGAGATAGATTCTGGGACTAAACTGAAAATGTAGGAATTTAACTCTTGCTTAAATATGCACCATTGTGAATGCATACACTTAATTTCTAGAGGTTTTTCTTGTTAATTCTTGGATAGTACAATATTTAGGACTGTAAAAGAAAAGTGTATGTCGGTGGTTTTCTACTCACCCAGAGGCGATAAGGGCACACGACTGAGCCATGGCGATGCGCTGCAGTGCAGGCCGGCTCAGTCCTGCCAGGCTGGACCGGGGCGGCAAAGGGGCCGCACAGGCAGCTGCACCAGATGAAGACACTGGACCCAGGACGCGGGCAGAAGGCGAGGGCGTGCAGGTGGAAGCAGCTGTGGAGATGAGAGGAGGCCCTGGAGTGGGTGCCATCGGGGCAGGACAGGAAGCAGAGAGGGATGAAGAGGTGGATGGGTGAGGGGGAGCGGTAGTGACAGATGAAGGTGTGGTGGTGGGTGGAGGGGGAGGTGGT